ATGCTGCTTTAAACCTCCCAGCCTGCCTCGTCAAGATAGTGCTATCCTGGGTTAGGTCACAGATTACAGGCTGAGCCCCAACCACTTGACTCTAGAGCCACAGGTTACCTGTGTCACCATTACAGCCCCCAGTACATGACTCCTTGACAATAACTTGTTTGAGACATAGTTTTCAAGCTGGCCTAGACATCATACTCTCTACCTTGGTTTCCCAAGAGGTAAGACTATATATAGATAAGTGCCACTGTGCAAGGTGACATTTTTTTGTTTTGTTTTTTGAGACAGGGTCTCCCTACGTAGACCATGCTGGTTTTGAACTCTCAGCAATCCTCTGCCTCAGTCTCCCAAACCCTGGGCTTATAAACCGGCCCTGGCTTCCAGTTGCCTTTTTTTTTTTAAAAAACATTTACCTTTCAGGGACTAGGGATTTAGCTCAGCGGCATAAGCACCTGCCTTGCAAGCAAGGCAGTCGTGAGTTCGATCCCCGGTACCGATAAAAAAGAAAAAGACAAAAAAAAAAAAAAAAAAAAAAAAACATTTACCTTTCTTGGTCATTTTTTTTTTTACTTTTTACTTATTTTTTGGTACCAGGGATTGAACTCATAACTGTGTGCTTGCAAGGCAGGCGCTTATGCCACTGAACTAAATCCCCAGCCCCTTCCAGTCGCTTTTAAGATTCCTCCAGTTCCTGGTCTTTCCTCTTCTGCCTGCCCTTCAGAGTCAAGAGTCCCCTGTGAAAGTCTTTACTCCACCCCAGGCATATTGGCACTCAAATTCCCCACCCTCTGGTTGCTGTCATCCCAACATCCCACTCTTGTGAATGTTGGGCTGCGCCTGTCTCTAGACCCGACGACGTGACCCTCCCAGGAAACTGACCACCCTGTAAACCAAACCACCCTGCCAGTCAAGAGTCTCCCCACTGGGGCCCTGTAAGAGTAAGTTCAGCCTTTACATCTGGTCATGAAGCTTTCATGACTGGATTATTGAACTGTGCATTCAAGCCAGACAGAGTGATGCATGCCTATAATGCTGAAGCAGGAAGACTGACACAAGTTCAAGGCCACCTTGGCCAACACAGTATGTTCCTGTCTGGAGTAGCGCCTGCTTGCATTCCATCCCTGGTACTGTTTAAAAAAAAAAAAAAAAAAAAAAAAAAGAACGAAACAAAGTGCTGCCTAGCAGGTACTACCTTGATGGTAGTACACATCTACACATCTGTAATCCCAACATTTGGGAAGCTGAGGTAGGAAGACCACCAGGAGTTTGAGGTCCCCTGAACTACATACCAGACTCTGTATTAAATGAGTGAAAGAATGAGTACTGGTGCATACCTGTAACCCAGGACCTCTGACAGGCTGAGACAGGACTGCCAGTTTAAGCCTAATACTGGCAATTTAGCAACTCGCTGAGTTAACTAACTTGAATAAAAAATAAAATTTGCCAGGCGTGGTGGCTCACACCTAATCCCAGCACTCGGGAGGCTGAGGTGGGAGGATTGTTGCAAGTTTGAGACCAGCCTGGGCTACAAAGTGAGCTCAAGGCCAGCCTGAACTGCATAGCAAGACCCTGTCTCAAAAAAAGACAAAAAAGGGGCTGCGGGTTTAGCTCAGCGTCATAAGCACCTGCCTTGCAAGCAGGCAGTCGTGAGTTCGATACCCGGTAATGATAAAAATGAAAAAGACAAAATAATAATATAATAATAATAATAATAATAAAATTTATGGGCTGGGGATTTAGCTCAGCGGCATAAACTCCTGCCTGGCAAGCACAAGGTCGTGAGTTCAATCCCCAGTACCCCCCCCAAAAAAATAATAATAATAATAATAATAATTAAAAATAAGGGATGGAAATGTAGTTGAGTGTGAAGGCCGTGGGTTCCATTACTGGTACTACAAAACTTAAAATAAAAATAAAAGGGTTGGGGCTGGGAATTTAGCTTGATGGAGGGGGCTGAAACTCTCGTGGGCATCCCCTACCCCGCAGCCTGTCGAAGGGTTTGGTCTTCAGTGCTTTCAGATTGTCCCCAGGCAGGGATGTCGCTCCCTACTCCTTCAGAAGACTACCCTTTTCCTCATCCTATCCAGTGGCATTTCTCACTCCAGAATTCCCGCTTGAAGGCCAAAGAGGAAAAAAGCGAGTTAGAAGAAATAAAACCAGGATGCCCTGTGGCTTCAAAGACAATGAACCAACAGCTTTAAAATGTTCTATAAAGAAGACTTCAGACAAATGGTTTTTCCAAGTACTGTTCTGTTTTAAGGAACAAACACTTGATCCTTAAATTTAACACTCCAGATTTATAGTATGTGGGGAGGTACAGATTCCCCCATCTTGTTTTATGAAGGTGGCATAAACCTGCAAAAGAAACGGCAATCTTCACTGAAATACAGACCCAAAGTCACAAGAGTAACAGCAAACTGAAGCCAAAAACGACAAAACAGTAAGCATCTTTTTTTTTTTTTTTTTTTTTTTTTGTCTTTTTCGTTTTTACTGGTACCAGGGATCGAACTCACGACTGCCTGCTTGCAAGGCAGGCACTTATGCCGCTGAGCTAAATCCCCAGCCCCTAGTAAGCATCTTTTTTCAAATAAGGTATTTAACAATACAAATACAATGTAATGGGAGAAAATTGATGGTTTAATTTCGCCACACTCGAATACAAAAAATTGTTTCTATATTATTTGTTCACTCACTCAATACACAAGCAATCTGAATTCCTATCAAAGATCAGATAACAAGGGGCTTGAAATGTATCAGTAAGCATATGGAAGTAGATGGTGAAAAAAATTCTGTTGAAAGCCTACCACAATTTACAAGAAAAACTTCTAAAGTAGGAAAAAGGAGCTTCCTAATAGCAACTATCTTAGAAAGAAAAGTTTCCAACAAATTCAAAATTTAATTCCCTGTGAAGTCAGGAAGGAAACAGAACTGCTTAAGATTTGTTCTTCAAACTCCAGTCAATGATCATGTAAGCCCAAGCCAGTCCAGCAAAGAAAGGAATTAGAAAATAAGTACTGGGGCTGGGGATTTAGCTCAGCGACATAAGTGCCTGCCTTGCAAGCAGACAGTTGTGAGTTTGATCCCTGGTACCGATAAAAACGAAAAAGAGCAAAAAAGAAAGGAAGTACAATTCAATGAAAAACAATTATTTATTTACTTTACAGATGATAAAACCATGTATGAAGAACATTCAGAAGATAATACAAAAATTAACTTTAATTTTCCTTTTCTGGAACAAAGTCTTGTTATGTAGGATAAGCAGGTGGCCAGCTCCTTGTCCTCCTGCCTCAGCTTCCTGAATGCTGGAATTGCAGACATGTGCCACCTGTCCATCTCAGGAATTAAGTATTTTTTAAAAAAAATTAAGTACTTGAGCAGGTGATGTATCTCAGTGGTATAGCCCTTGCCTAGCAAACCTAGTCCTGGATTCAAGCCCCAGCATGATCACCACCAAAAAAATTAAGTACTAAAGACAGCAGGCTGACCCCAAATTCAATAAACAAACCAGGAAGGCAAATGTGATTAAAAGGCGTTGAAAGAAACAATTCCTAGGGGAGGAAAAGGGAATAAAAAAAATACTAAGATGTGTCCCGTTCATGAACCAATCAATACCCACAAAGAAAGTAGTCATTACGTATCACAAACGAGTATTAATTTTAAAAAAATCCTTAGGAATGAATGCAACAAACAATTACCTCAAATCTATCTGGTAGGTAACTATACACTTTTACTGAAAGAAAATATAGCAGGCATAAACAAAAATATAATTCCATTAATAGTAAAACTTCTCAAAAATAAGCATTTGAGTCTACTCACAAATCACTAACAAAAAAGAAATTCTGGGGGAAAAAAACTATATAAGCAGTAAAATCCACATGCCTACATGCAGGTCAGGACAGAGCAGTATAACAGTCCACAACCTCGCCTGCCTCGCAAGAGTGATGTCGTGAGTTTGATGCCCGGTACTACAAAAAAAAAAGTCCATAGCATTTTCAGGTTTATAATTGGCCTCCTTGGTCTAGTTCATGGATTTGCTTTATTACTGTACTTTTTAACTGCGAGTCCATGAAAGCACTTTCATTTTTGTATATACACCCTACCTTCCAATTTAAAAATATATGAAAATAAGCGGCTCAAAGAAAGAGAGCAAAATATTAGTAACTACTATTAATGAATTAACCCTCAAGTTAAATGAAGATGTTAAACACTAGGAATGGTGAGGGATACCTGCAACTGCAGCACTTGAACTGAAACAGGAGGATCGCATAGGGAGTTCAAGCGTGGCAGGGACTACATAGCTAGACCCTGTCTCAAAAATAAGACGTTTAAAACTTTAAAAATTGACACAATGTCAAAATGAATTTTAAATATTTTTAAAATTCTTATGTTTTAAAAAAAAGCCGGGTGCAGTGGCACACTCTTGTCATCTTAGCCCTCGGGAGGCTGAGGCAGGATAGCAGGCCTTCTGGACTACATAGTGAGTTTAAGACCACCCTGAACTACACAGCGAAACCCTGTCTCAAGAAAACCAAAATTAGTAATAAAGTATTAAGATCAATCTTATAGAACATTTACACCACAATGTCAACTAAAATTAAGTGCACCAAAAATTTAACTTAAAAACTATAAAGGCTCAAATTAAATATTAACCAAAACAAAACCCGTGTCATGATAATACAAGTTATAACACAAAACTCAAGGCAGTAGACAAGGAAAGTGGTTCGCCCTCGCTACATCCAACTCCTTCCTCCCCCTCGCCCCTCAACTCCTCAGGCTCAGCCGGGCTTTCCATCCGGAACCCAAGGACTTTCCTCACCAAACGCAACGGCTTAGTTTCAGTTCTTCCATCAAGAGCATGTAACACAGCTGGTCATGGAATCCAAAACGCTCTCTCGCCCTAACTCCCTGGCTTTCGAATTTCTAGCCCCTCGCGCCGCCCTACTTCGGGACCCCTCGCGTCCTCAGGGTGCCCAGGTTTAAAGGTTTAAGAAAGCAAGTCTTACAGGATGGGGATACAACCCAGGGAGCAGAGGTCTCGAAAGTTGCCGCCGAAGGACGAGAAACTCGTACGTAAAGCCCCATATGCTGCGAGGTAGTAGAAGGTGCCCACCAAGTACAAGGGACGCGCGGTGCCCCTCTCCTTTGCCCATGTGTGTTACTCTAATCGCCTCCAGAGGGTAATGGCTTCCGCTTCACTTCCGCCTTTAAAATCTCGCGAAATCTCATTGGCCCCGTCTAACCAGGAAGCGAGAGCCCAGAGGGTGCTGGGACATGTAGTTCATAATGTGTGAGAAAGATGGCTGTCATGCCCAGTGGAATCTAACCATCCACCACACTCCCCAACTAATAATTGTCTTTTAAAGGAACCTAGTGAATGGGCCTGAAGATGCTTAGTGGCTAGCTAAAAAGGATGAAGCTTAGGCCTCTCGGCCTTCATTAGATACTGCCTGCTTTATTACCTTAAAAGTTCAGGTGATATACCTGCTCAGCTATGCCTGTAGGCATTTAATCACTTAAGGAAAGCCTGTCCAGTTTCTGGAACCATGATTCTGCCTCTTGAAGCTGTGCAACTAAGCGACCATGCTTTCAGAAGCTTTATGTCCTATATAAATGATTACCCCGTGTTTACCTCAACATTGTTACTGCCAAAAAATGTGGACTAAGAATATAACGCTGTTCAGAAAGACACTTGACAAGTGTATAAAAACCTTAAGAAAAAAAAACAAAACAGGACCAGGGCTTAATTCAGTGGCATAAACACCTACCTGACAAATGCGAAGTCGTGAGTTCAGTCCTCGGTACCAAAAAAATTTAAATTTAAAAAAAATGAAGATCTCATTGGATCTCGCGAGATCTCATTGGCCTGCTCTAACCAGGAAGGTCTTGGAGAGACAGCGATGCCGGCTTGTACAGTAATTTATCAACAAACAGAAGGCAAAAAGACAAAAGTTTATTTAGAGCAGGATACATTGCCAAGGGAGACAGGGTAGAGGTTTCCAAGAAAGGAATCTAAGGGATTTTTATGTGGATTTATAGGTATGGAAAAAAGATTTGAGCAGCAAATGTGATCATCTAAAGAATGTGTTTTTCCTGAATCATCTGGCATCTTTCAGACCTTCCTGAAGCACCCAAATTGAATTTAAAATTGTATGTTTACAGTTCCATCAAGGTCACTCTTCTGGCCAAGAGAAGACCTTTGGCTTTAGATAAATGAAGTCTGTGCATATTTTTTAGAGAAAGAGGGGTTTGGATTCTGGGAGAAATGAATGGGCCTTACTACAAAGATTTGTTAATGTCTTAGACTGCCTGCTGACAACTGATTAAATGGAGCTCCTCTGTTATGGGGGGTTTAAGCCAGAGTTTGGCTGTTAAGGGTGCTAGGGTTATTTCCAAAAGATGAAAAATATTAACAAAAGATGAGAAATATAAAATAAAAAGCGGCCTTTATTCTGAGAACACAGAGAGAGATGACCGGCACCCCCACCGCTGGCGTCCGGAGATCTCTCTGGTGGACACGTGGCGTGGGGGCCTGTAAATAACCTCAGTTTGGGGTGGAACCTAAGGCGGGCATTAGGGATACACAGGTAGCCCATTGGTCCTAGGTTTGGCGTCATATGTAAATTTTCAGAGGCGGGAAGATGGCGTCACAGGTAACTTCCTAGGGGCAGGGGATATGGGGCTTCTTGGTTCCGGTTGAGGTTTTCCTGGCTACGGTGTCCTATCTGGGCCAAAACCCTTTCATATCCCGTCTTATGATTATTATGAAAAGGGGCGAAGATTTCTCTCTTTAACTACTTCCTGCTGGCAAAGGGCGCTGTACTGGAGCCTAAGGGAGTCAACGGGATGAAGGTTGATGCCCAGGTAGACGCTGGTGCCAGGTGTTTTGGCCATGACAGCTTCACTGGTGAATGCACATATGTCAGACTGGAAAAACAAAGAGACAAGATGTTATGAGGAGACATGGCACTGTCATATTAAGGACCCAGGTGTGGTAGAGGGAAATGTGCCTTTGATTTAGACATATCATTCTATCAGGACCATGTTGAGATAGAAACATTTCCATGGTAAGGCAGAATTCTGAAAATTAAACGTGGGGTTAGGAGGAGTGGAGTTATGAGAGGTGATTACTCCCCCATCTGAAAGCATAAAAGTTAAGACGGTAGGTTGGTGAGGCTTGTCTCTGGTATGCATGATGTTGGAGTCTGTAGGCAATACTGTTAAAGAATCCTGATGTAAAAATGATCATTAATAGAATGTAAGAAATTAGGAACCAAAGTGGATAACAAAACATGACTTAGCCTGTTAACTGTGGCTGCGAGGCCTTCGTGAAACGGAGATTGGGTAGGCGACAGAAGATGAGATGACCACTCAGAATGATCAGATTTAGGGCTGTAAGGGCACCTCTTAGCCTGAGCAATGTGAAACCAGAATGGCAGTCTAGCAACTTTGATTTAGGCATGGGTCGCTGCAACCTGGTTGTAGTCCTTGGAATGATTTGCTGTAACAGAACTTTAGCAAGTATGAGAAAGGCTTTTATGTATCCTGAAAAAGTATTAACCAAGTGAGAAGACAAAATGTATCTGTCAGTCTTGACCAGGATACCTGAGAAATTGGTGAATAAGAAAGGAAGAGGGTGGTCTATATCACTGAGGAAGGGTCCACCAGCAACAACACATGGAAGCTGTTGAGGCCTCAGTGTGTCTAAGTCAGCCTGTATAAAAGGCATTTTAAGATTTAGGACTGGGACCTGCACAAAATAGGCCCTGTTTGTAAATGGCATAGGTTGACCATTAATACCCTGTCATAGAGATTGAGGACTTAATATAGCAGCCTGAATACTCAGGAAGAACTCTGTATATATGGCCTCTATGTCCACAAATATAGAGAATGTCTTATCTGAGACTGTAGTGCGACTTGGAATCTGAGACGGATACCTTAAAGGGGGCTGTTGTTGCCCTGAGCCCCCTCAGTCTTCAGCAGCGATTTTCTGTCGGTGATGAATCTGGCAGTGTCGACATTTCCTGTGAGGGCTAGAACTTAGCATGACTTACCCACTCTCTGGTGGCTAGGACAGTCCAGTAGCCCTGGAGTAAGGTCTCAAAGAATGCCAGGATGGGGCATTTTGTTGCCCAATGTCTTCTGCTGCATTTGAGCATGGTCCATGGAGGGGGCAGGCAGCTCCACCTTGTGTAGGTTTACCTGTCTCAGAACTCCAAGTGTCACAAGTGTTAAAAATATAAAAAACCATATTAAGATCTCTATAAGGTTTGAAGGTCAAGTTTTGCCTTTTGTTTGGGATTTGGACTATAGTAGAATTAAGTAAGTATGTAGGAATTTAATATTGGCATTTTAGATTAGAGAGCAGGCTTTATCTGGATGGCATATCGCTTTTTTTTTTTTTTAGGGTGACACATAGAATTAACAAAAAAAGCTTTAGTCTGCCAAACAAGGCTTTAATGGAAACATTTTGCAGTAAAGGTTTAGCAATCTTATGAATAAATCTATCAAAACTGATCTAATACTGTCAAATTTGAACACATTTTAAAGTTGTTATTTGCAGTAGTATGAACCAAGACAAATAAAATAAAACTTTGAAGAAAACCCTTGTCTTAAAATAGAGCTAGTGGTTCCCAGCAAAAAGGAATTTATAACCTTAGTTGTTAAACAGGAGATTGGTGAAGGCTTTGATTGATAAACAAGGCTGGTAAAATTATCAGGTGGCCAATAACCTTGATTAAATGGATTGAGAATTGTAAGAAAAAAAGCATCTTTTGAGTGGAGCCAAATTGTAAAAAAGCATGCCTGAGCAGAGCTGCTGAGCTGCTGTTTCGCGGCGCTCCAGCAGAGCACACCCAGCGGGTGGGGCAAGCGCTGGGATGTAGCACGCAGGGGTGGGCTGGGACTGCCCCCAGAAACGCATAAGGCGGTGGCAACGAAGGCGACGACAACGGCGCACAGGGGAGGGAGGGGCTGGGACAGTGCATGGGGGAGGGCCTGGGAGGCAGCCTGACACAGCGCGCAAAGCTGGAACTGCTTGCAGGGCGCGAGGATTAGAAAGCCAATTTAGGAACACAGCTGGGTTTTGATTAGCTTCCTGGACCTGTTTTAAAAGTTTGTTATAGTTAGTATGCTTGACCTGCTCTGGCACAGCTATAGACCCAGAGTCATTATCAGCGGTGTTTACCTCATGTCTGTGATCAGCTTCTTTTTGAGCTGCTTGCCACAGCTGATTCCGTTCTTGTGAGCTGAGAGAGGTATTTAGAATCCCATAAACATCCTTAAAATGTAAATCATAACAATTAGTAATGAATTCAAATTGCCTGATATAATTCTGTGGATCAACAGAAAAGCTACCTAATTTATGGGCAGTCTGGGATAGATCAGAAAGGGAAAAAGGCACATGGATGTTAACAAGTTCCTTGGGGCCAGCTTGCTCCCGAAGCGGTAGCAGAGCCTGAGGAGATTCCGGAGTAGAGGGCCATTGGGCAGCCATCCTTCCGGTAGGCGCATGTGAACAATCATCTGTAGTGCGGCTACAGAGCTGCTGCCGGTCACCCTGGGAAACATGAGCAGATGGCGTCTTACTGTGTGCCTTGCAGCTAGAGGACTGCTGTCGGCAGCACAATGAAGCGTCATGTGCACTGCAACAGGGCGGCTGTTGCAGTTCACAAGAGGAGCATAAGGGGACGCCAGTTGGCAGTGAGGGTCCTGGGAACATGGCGGCGCCTTGTCACCTGACCCAAAACATGGCGGCGCCCTGTCGCCATGTGGCCCTCCTGAACATGGCGGCGTCATTCCACGTGGCAGAGGGTTGCAACATGGCGACTGTTCCCGGCACAAGCTGGAACAATCATGCGGCCTGCTGGAAGGACATAGCGACTGAAACCTAGTATGGTGGGCGGGTGGTGAGAATGCTGTAGGAGATAGAGAATTCTCAGGAGAAGAAGTTGGAGACTGCGAGGAAGAGCTGCTGGGAGAGATATGGGTCCTGGAAGGCGGAGAAGGAGACGATCACACAGTGGGAGTTATCTGCGACGGAGAGGGATTAGAGCTGCTGAGAGAATCAGGCATGGGGGAGGGGAGAGCGGTCCAGCGGGAGGTAATGGCAAGGAATGAGTTTGGTGGTAGGCAGGCGGCGGCCGGGAAAACACCGGAGGGCAGGATGGAAAAGTTTGCGGCGCAGTAGACTTAGCTA